GTTTGATCTTAGTCATACATGATTGGAGATTTTGAAATTTTAAGACGTCACTGTTGCTGACTATACAATGTTATCAATGTTATACAATGTTACATGCTTTTCATTAATTTGTGACATATTTTAGATTTAAAGATGAGTTGATTAAAAAAGAAAATAATCGCACAACTTAAAAAGTTCCTGGCAACACTTTAAATATATCATTGTCCTGCCGTTTATTTTAACACGTGATTCTGTGGATTGTTTCTCCTTCGTGATGTCCTTCTGCTCATCAGTTCTGGCGTTATGGTGACTGGGTGGATGTCATCATCGATGACCGCATCCCAACTTTCAACAACCAGCTGGTCTTCACTAAGTCCGCTGAGAGGAATGAGTTCTGGAGCGCCCTGCTGGAGAAGGCTTATGCCAAGTGAGTGTCTTTATGCTCGAGTGGGGGGAAAGCAGAGCAAAATGGTGCTTTTTGGTAGTTTTATTCAACTGTTTAATCTGAATCATCACAATCCCAGAGAAAAGTAAATGGTCACAGTTGTTCCAAAACTGTAAGAACAGTAACTAACTGAACTAAATTGAATTTTTACTAATATTAAGTATTACAAAGTTACAAAATATAACAAATAGCTCTAAACATTATGATTCATGCAGTCATGATTGTGGGAATTGCTCACATTATTAGACATCCTTATACAAAATTAACTTCCTAAAGTAAATTTAAAGGCTTTATTGGTGCACTGATAAGTTAATGCCTAAATGGACAAAAACTCTCTCTATGATCCAGGCTTCATGGTTCTTATGAGGCTCTGAAGGGTGGAAACACCACCGAGGCCATGGAGGACTTCACTGGTGGAGTCACTGAGTTCTACGAGATGAAGGAGGCTCCCAAAGAACTCTACAAGATCATGAAGAAAGCTCTGGAGAGAGGGTCGCTCATGGGCTGCTCCATCGATGTGAGACACTGTTGTCTCTCCACACCTCTTCTCTAGTATTAGTGTTGGATATTTTATTCTTTTTAAATTTACACTAAAGAAGTCAAACCACCTCGCTGTGCTCAGATTTTAAAGACACGCATCACAGTCTCACTCGGGTCTTTTACATTTTGACATCTTCTCCGCTGTTAACTTCACCTAAAGATGAAGTTGATTAAAGCCTACAGTATGTTAACTTCAGCCACCAGGTGTCATCAAAATCAAAGCAAGCTTTTCAGCTGCTATTAGGCTCCTCATTCAGAATTGTCATTATGCACAGTCGTGCTGGTGTTCGCATATTTATTTCATTTTATCCCCATCAAACTTCCCTAACCTGTTTTTTAATCTGCAGTCCCTGGTTCCTGCCCGCTTTGAGACACGTACGGTGACGGGACTTGTGAAGGGACATGCCTACTCTGTGACAGCAGTGGAAGAGGTAAAGTAGTGTGTTTTGTCCAGTGAGATTACACCAGCCGCTCAGCAAAAAATTGAAATGGAGTGTATGGCTGTACACTTTGAAGCCATGAATGCTGCATTAATACGAACAAAACAGGAAGGTGATGGATTAATGTGAGTTCATATTAAACCTGAGAGTCTCTCTGAAATACCACAGTGCCGACCGTCTCAGCACAAGGAGTCTAAAGTTCGTCTGGTGCGTCTCAGGAACCCGTGGGGTCAGGTGGAATGGAATGGTCCCTGGAGTGACAAGTAAGGAATTTTTAACTTTTACAATTTTTAACCCTACTTTAGCAAAAAAAA